AACCTCAGACCAGTTACAACAGCAGAGAATAAAGAACAGAGCAAATGGGCAAGTGTACATGGTATCCAAGGGACCAGGATTTCTCAACAAGTGAACCTAACTGAGAGAAATGAAAATCAAGAAGAGCGCTCTCAAGAGGCTCACGTGTTGTCAGTTGCTCCAATTGCTTCCTCTGAGACACAGCCCTGCACACTTGGTTTGGAGAGGGGTCTTGGTGAAAATTCCTTTGAAAAGCCCCAGATAAAGGACTCTAAAGGAGACAATGTGCTTACACTTCCTGTGCCAGGATAAACACCAATAAGTATTCCAGAAGTCCAACAAGAAAATATAATCAGTCCTCAAGACCTAACAGTGAATCCAGTTGCTAATGTACCTCAAGATGGAGAAGATGAACAAGCATTTATTTTATCTCTGGTGGAAATCCCAACCAATCTCCTTTTCCCATTAAACTAATGGAGAGTAGAAGAAATAACCGAAGCCACCACACAGTTAATGCCAAACCCTTCACTGCCAGCTCCTGTATTGGTCAAATCTGTGAATACTGAAGAAAGGGGTGGCATGAGTATTTATTTCCCAGCAACTTCAGTTGGTCAAGATGACCAACTGAAGATCTATTTTTGAAAGAGGGGATTCTAAAAAGCTTCCTGATAATTTGGATCTTGTATCTAGGAAGAGATTTCATAGCAGGCTTGATGAAAATGACCACGTTCCTCCTGCCAAGAACTGTTCACTCACTTTAAGAGATGATTGTCAAGCATAGACCTCTGAGGTGCACTCAAAGGAATTAACAAAGGTTTTTGAGGAAACAGGGGAGTCTCAAAGGGACAAGATATTTTTCCTACCTCAGGAAGCACACTGATAACTCCAGAACCTCAAAAAGAGCAAGTTGAACCAACTTTTCGGAGTATAGGATCTAGATCTCCCGATACATGCATAGACAAGAATGTGCCTCAGTTACCTCAGAATGAAATGATTGTGTCTGATAAGGAAGAAAGAAGTGACGCTGCTCCTAAGTCTGAGCAAATGGACAGCAGAACATCATCTTCAAAAGCCCCACTATCCAGACCTGGCAGAAGACCCCTGGGATGTTTTATCTTTCATGTGTTCAAAGAATAGTTTGGAATCTGATGGACCTACTCAGGTCTATAGTAAGAAACGCCGAAAGCCTCTTATACCTGCATTAAGACAGAATCTGAAAAGATCCAGTCTGTCCAGTGAAAGCCAGAAAAAGAAGAAAGAGTCCTCTGATCCACTTGCATCTCCAAGTGTTATTAATACTCAATCTGAGAATATTAGCAGCTCATCAACTCAGGTTTTTTGTGATCAGCCCTTACTGAAAGAAGGGCACAAAAGTGGCCAAAAGCAGGCCCCTGAAGGGAAGCCAACCACGGTCTCTGAATATTTCTTCAATGATATCTTCTCATTGAAGTGGATGAAACAGAATAAAACAATCTTTTGTCTTTTTCTTTTTTAAATTAAGTCTAGGATTTCCAGAGTCAATTACATCAACAAAACAGTATTTAGAGCAAAACATCAATGTCTATTTTTCTTTAGGTTGATTTTGAATATTTAATAAGCTTGATTTGAAGCTTTTGTAATCAGTGGAAAACATTCCTGAGGTTCCTTTCATTCTGATTGATTTAGCATTTTGCAAATAGCAAGCAATTAAGACTGCTTTCTCAGACAGAAATAACAACTCTTGTTTACAATTTGACTCTTCCTGTGCTAAGCACACATGGACATTTGGGAATGTTGTGGATATATGTCTCTGTATGAACTGCATTGCACACAGATTTGGAGGTTGATTGTATCATATTTAACGTTTAGAAACTTCTTTTGTGAAGAGTTTTTTATTTTTATTTTTAGAGGAAGATGATGAAGGATGAAGGCCTTTTCAGTTGCTTCTAAGTACAGTCATTTTTCACATGATGTTTAAGTCAATGACAGACCACATATATGACAGTGGTCCCATACAATTAAAATGGAGATTAAAAAAGTCCTGTCATCTAGTGACATTATAGCCATCATAACATAATGCGTTGCTCTTTTATGTTTAGACCTGTTTAGATACACAGATACTTACTATTGCATTAAAACTGCCTACAGTATTCAGCACAGTAACACACCATAGAGGTTTGTAGCCAAGGAGTGACAGGCTATACCACATAGCCTCGGTCTGTAGGGTGTGCAGCAGTCTGTACATCTCAGTGTTTGGAAGTACACTCAGCGCTGTTCCACACAAGATCACCTACCAAGGCATTTCTTAGAACATACAGTTAAGGGGCACATGACTGTATATGAAAACAAATTGTCAAACTCCACTGTAGTATGGTAAATGTTAGATAACTTTTCTATTATCAGCTGTTTGTCTGACTGAAAAATACATACTTTTTCAGTTTATGGTGATGTAACATGAGTCCTAATTGAAAAACTAGTATTTAAACATAATTATTTCTAAAGATGACACAACAAAGAGCTTATTTATTTTTACATTTTTTATTTAAAAGGATATTCAGTTTTAGCTATTTTCACCCCTCAGATTATAAAGAAGGCATTAACAATTTTATGTTTGTCTCCTTTTTCTCTTTACTTTTAAATATATTTAAAATGATATAACTAAAAATGTTTGGCCAGTATATGTTTGGAATACTTTTTTCCCTAAATTTAATGTATTGACTTTATATTGTGCATTTTTCTGTTTTTCTTATTTCTGGGATATTCTCAGGATTTTCATGAGGGTAGGGGAAACTCAACTTTATGAGACAAATTTTCATACAAAACGCAATCTCCTTTGTACACGCACAGACATATATTAGTTTTTAAAAAGCCAATTTCTTCATAGATTTTTTTACCATTAAATTCTCAAGAAACACTTAGATCTTTAAGCATGGAACACAATCGTGATGTTAAAAATAGAAAATAAGACTTACTGCATGTTCCCACTCGTAGGTGGGAATTGAACAATGAGAACATTTGGACACAGGGTGGGAACACATCATACAGCAGGGCCTGACATGGGGTGGGGGTAGGGGGTTGGGATAGCGTTAGAAGAAATACCTAATGTACATGACGAGTTCATGGGTGCAGCACACCAACATGGCGCATGTATACATATGTAACAAACCTGCCCGTTGTGCACATGCACCCTAGAATTTAAAGTATAATAAAAATAAATAAAAATAAAGTTAGTGATTATCATCAATATGAATTTAAGGTTTTAATTTCAAGATCTGATGATTGACACGTATAATTCTACGATCTACTCAAGCAGATCTGTAGTGGTTCCCATTAGACTTCTCAAACAGCAAATTTACTCTGATTTTATTTGAAAAGCCTCTTGGATTGATGATATATTATCTTAGGAGCTGGAAACCTTCTGCAAACTATTTTGGGTTTGCAGGCCAGAGGGTCTGTCTAGCAGCTACCCCGCTCTGCAGTTTCCGTGTGAAAGAAGCCATGGACAGTACTTGAATGAAGGACTGTTGCTGGATTGGCCTTTTAGTTTGACCGCTATATTAGACCCCAAATTTTCTTACCCTAAGGTGCTGATGTCTGTAGGTATGAGTTATTTGTCACTGAAGTCATGAGTTGTGCCTAAAAGTCAGAACTGTGTTCACTGTATTATGTAATGATCAGTATTTCAATTGGGAAGATATTTTAGAGTCTAGATAATTAAGTTTGTATATTGAAAAAATGGTGGCCAGTTTTTAAATTCCTTAACAGAAGAGAATTATGTCTCAGCAGGTATAACAGTAATGCTAATTTATTGAAACTACTGCTATGAGCGCACTTCTTTCTCATTGTCTTTCAGTGAAATTTATGGCTTATCATTTTGTCAGACAGGAGGCTATATAATTCTGAGTGGAAACTGTCTACAAGTAGGCATTTATTTCGTGATTAATATGTCAGAGAAATCATGGTAGTAAATCACATTGCTATTTTAATACTCTGTTTTTGTAAGTTTTTAAAACTCATATTCTGAAAAGATTTCATTCTCTTAACGTTAGTTTGGGAGTTAGATTGCCATGGTTAAACTATTATTTATCCTTGTGTAATAATAATTTTTAACTTTAACAACTGTCTCTTTTTAATATGGAATAAGCTAGTTTTATGGAAGATAGAATTTCTTGCTATATAAAGAATACAGGGACTCATTGTATTAGAGAATCAAGTCAGCCAGCTAAAGTATCCTACCATTATATCCTTAAACCTAATTTTGGAAAAGAGAGAGTTAATCAGTGTATTTACCTTACATGGTGGCAAGAACTATGTTAGGCCTGATTCATGTAAAGAAGATATTGCGAAGAATTTATTTCATAAATCTTAAAGAAGATATGATTAATGGTTTTCATCTTTTCTTGACTTTTTCTCTTATGTTTTAGCAAGTGATCAACCTGAGGGTTTGACGCCTAATTGTCGGTAAATGTCTGAGGCATGACAAAAATATTAATATCCATTGTTTACCATCATGTTATTTGAAACAAAAGTGCCCATGTGTACTCTCTTGCTTGACGAAGTCTTTGACAAAAAAAAATCATGTCATTTATAAATTTTCTTGTTCTAAAGAAAGCAGTTGTGTTTTATATATATATATCTATATATATAAATTATGTAAATAAGTTATTTTATACAGAAAAAGGATAAAGTAATCAAGAAAACATAAGAGCCTTAAATGAGCATACATCTAACAGAGCTCCAAAATGCATGAAGGAAAAACTATTAGAATTAAAAGTTAAAAAAAAACCCAGATGACACATTTTTAAATCTCCAAGTACCTGGAAATCAAAAGTACACTTTCAAATAACCAACAGGCCAAACAACAGATTGACAGAAATTTTTGAAAAATATTTTTTAAACTGAATGAAATGGTGATATAACATATGAAAATCCTTGCTAAGATAGTGCTCACAGGGAAACTTGAGCATTAAATATTTAATTAGAAAATTAAAAGGTCTAAACTCAATCATATAGTTTCCACTTTAAGAAACTAGAAAAAATAAAGGACATTTCAATGAGGCTCATGGGGCTGTGAAACTAAGAGCTATTAACACTATGACCACGGATTAAAATTCTCTGTAGGATCCATAGCACTGAATGGTGCAATATTTTCCTGAGGAAGTATAAGACTTAGCCATTTATAATTATGACATGATAATCCATAATTGTTGATGTGGAAAAGTAAATACATTTCTCAAAGTTTAAGTAGATTTTCTTTTTTTTAAAGGAAAAATGAAATAGACCTACAGTAAGCAGAAGGGTTAAATAATAAAGATAAGAACCGAAATCAATAAAATTTGAAATAGAAAAACAATGGAAAAAAATTGATGAAACCAAAAGCTGATTCTTTAAAAAGACCAAGAAGAGGCAGTGACCTAGCAAAAAAGACAGGTATATTACAAAGAAATCTCTGAACAAACATACCCAATAAAAATCAAAACAAGCCAGGCAGAGAAAACAAATAAATAGCTAATTTTTCACCGCAAAACCAGATGTACATCCACAGGAAACAATAGCAAACAGGAAACCAGGATCTCCCCAAACAGACAGATTAAGTTGCCAGTGACTGACCCTAACTAGACGGGAGTAGATGAGCTCTCTGATCAATAATTCAAAATAGCAGTTTTAAGAAAACTCAGTGATCTTTAAAATAACATGGAAAAGCAACTCAGAAATGTATTAAATATAACAAAGAGATTGAAATTTTTTTCACTTTTCTTTATACTTTAAGTTCTGCGATAGATGTGCAGAACATGCAGGTTTGTTGCACAGGTACACAGGTGCCATTGTGGTTTGCTGCAACCATCAACCGGTCACCTACATTAGATATTTCTCCTAATACTATCCCTCTCCTAGCCCCCCAACCACCGAAAGGCCCTGGTGTGTGATGTTCCCCTCCCTGTGTCCATGTGTTCTAATTGTTCAACTCCCACTTATGAGAGAGAACATGCAATGTTTGGTTTTCTGCTCCTGTGTTAATTTGCTGAGAATGATGGGTTCCAGCTTCATCCATGTCCCTGAAAAGGACATGAACTCATTCTTTTTTATGGCTGCATGGTATTCCACGGTGTATATGTGCCACATTTTATTTATCCAGTCTATCATTGATGGGCATTTGGGTTGGTTCCAAGTCTTTGCTATTGCAAATAGTACTCCAGTAAACATATGTGTGCTGTGTCTTTATAGAATGATTTATAAACCTTTGGGTATACACCCAGTAATGGGATTGCTGTGTCAAATGGTATTCCTGGTTCTAAATCTTTGAGGAATTACCACACTGTCTTCCACAATGGTTGAACTAATTTACACTCCCACCAACAGTGTAAAAGCATTCCTATTTCTCCACATCCTCTCCAGCATCTGTTGTTTCCTGACTTTTTAATGATCGCCATTCTAACTGGCAAGAGTTGGTTGTTATCTCATTGTGGTTTTGATTTGCATTTCTCTAATGACCAGTGATGAGGAGCTTTTTTTCATGTTTGTTGGCTGCATAAATATCTTCTTTTGAGGACTGTCTGTTCATATTCTTTGTCCACTTTTTGATTGGCTTGGTTTTTTCTTGTAAATTTGTTTAAGTTCCTTGTAGATTCTGGGTATTAGCCCTTTGTCACATGAACGGATTGCAAAAATGTTCTCCCATTCTGTAGGTTGTCTGTTCACTCTGGTGGTAGTTTCTTTTGCTGTGCAGAAGCTCTTTAATTAGATCCCATGTGTCAATTTTGGCTTTTGTTGCCATTGCTTTTGGCATTTTAGTCATGAAGTCTTTGCCCCTGCCTATGACCTGAATGGTATTGTCTTGGTTTTCTTCTAGGGTTCTTATGGTTTTAGGACTTACATTTAAGTCTTTAATCCATCTTGAGTTAATTTTTGTATAAGGTATAAGGAAGAGGGCCAGTTTCAGTTTTGCACATATGGCTAGCCAGTTTTCCCAACACCATTTATTAAATAGGAAATCCTTTTCCCATTGCTTGTTTTTGTCAGGTTTGTCAAAGATCAGATGGTTGTAGATATGTGGCATTATTTCCGAGGCCTCTGTTCTGTTCCATTGGTCTACATACCATGTTCATAAAGCAAGTTCTTAAGAGACCTACAGAGAGACCTAGACTCCCATACAATAATGGTGGGAGACTTTAACACCCCACTGTCAATATTAGACAGATCAATGAGACAGAAAATTAACAAGGATATTCAGGACTTGAACTCAGCTCTAGACCAAGCAGACCTAATAGATGTCTACAGACTCTCCACCCCACATCAACAGAATATACGTTCTTCTTAGCACCACAGCACACTTATTCTACAATTGACCACATAATTGGAAGTAAAACACTCCTCAGCAAATGCAAAAGAACAGAAATCATAACAAACATTCTCTCAGACCACAGTGCAATCAAATTAAAACTCAGGATTAAGAAACTCACTAAAAACTGCACAACTACATGAAAACTGAACAACCTGCTCCTGAATAACTACTGGGTAAATAATGAAATTAAGACAGAAATAAATAAGTTCTTTGAAACCAGTGAGAACAAAGACACGATGTACCAGAATCTCTGGGACACAGCTAAAGCAGTGTTTACAGGGAAATTTATAGCACTAAGTTCCCACAGGAGAAAGGAGGAAAAATCTAAAATTGACACCCTAACATCACAATTAAAAGAACTAGAGAAGCAAGAGCAAACAAATTCAAAAGCTAGCAGAAGACAAGAAATAACTAAGATCAGAGCAGAACTGAAGAAGATAGAGACACAAAAAAACCCTTCAAAAAATCAATGAATCGAGGAGTTGGTTTTTTGAAAAGATTAACAAAATAGATAGACCACCAGCCAGACTAACAAAGAAGAAAAGAGAGAAGAATCAAATAGACACAATAAAAACTGATAAAGGGGATATCACCACTGATCCCACAGAAATGCCAACTACTATCAGAGAATACTATAAACACCTCTAGGCAAATAAACTAGAAAATCTAGAAGAAATTGATAAATTCCTGGACACATACACCCTTCTAAGACTAAACCAGGAAGAAGTTGAATACCTGAATAGACCAATAACAAGTTCTGAAATTGAGGCAGTAATTAATAGCTTACCAACCAAAAAAAAACCCAGGACCAGACGATTCACAGCTGAATTCTACCCGAGGTACAAAGAGGAGCTGGTACCATTCCTTCTGAAACTATTCCAATCAATAGAAAAAGAGGGACTCCTCCCTAACTCATTTTATGAAGCCAGCATTATCTGATACCAAAACCTGGCACAGGCACAACAAAAAGATAAAATTTCAGGCCAATATCCCTGATGAACATCGATGCAAAAATCCTCAACAAAATACTGGCAAACCGAATCCAAGCAGCACATCAAAAAGCTTATCCACCATGATCAAGTCAGCTTCATCCCTGGGATGCAAGACTGGTTCAACATATGCAAATCAATAAACGTAATCCATCACATAAACAGAACCAATGACAAAAACCACGTGATTATCTCAATAGATGCAGAAAAGGCCTTTGATAAAATTCAACACCGCTTCATGCTAAAAACTCTCAATAAACTAGGTATTGATGGAACATATCTCAAAATAACAAAAGCTATTTATGACAAACCCACATCCAATATCATACTGAATGGGCAAAAGCTCGAAGCATTCCCTTTGAAAACAGGCACAAGACAAGGATGCCCTCTCTCACCACTCCTGTTCAACACAGTATTGGAAGTTCTGGCCAGGGCAATCAGGCCTGAAATAAAGTGTATTTGAATAGAAAGAGAGGAAGTCAAATTGTCTCTGTTTGCAGATGACATGATGGTATATTTACAAAACCCCATTATCTCAACCCCAAATCTTTTTAAGCTGATCAGCAACTTCAGCAAAGTCTCAGGATACAAAATCAATGTGCAAAAATCACAAGCATTCCTATACATCAAAAATGACAGCCAAATCATGAGTGAACTCCCATTCACAATTGCTACAAAAAGAATAAAATACCTAGGAATACAACTTACAAGGGATGTGAAGGACCTCTTTGAGGAGAACTACAAACCGCTGCTCGAGGAAATAAGAGAGGATACAAACAAATGGAAAAACATTACATGCTCATGGATAGGAAGAATCAATATCATGAAAATGGCCATATTGCCCAAAGCAATTCATAGATTCAATGCTATCCCCATCAAGCTATCATTGACTTTCTTCACAGAATTAGAATAAACTACTTTAAATTTCATGTGGAACCCAACAAGAGCCCTTATAGCCAAGACAATCCTAAGCAAAAAGAACAAAGTTGGAGGCATCAAGCTACCTCACTTCAGCAGAGATTGAAATAATTTTTAAAAATCAAGCACAAATTTCAAAACTGAGAAATATATTTGTTAAACTGAAAATTTCATTATAGGCTCTCAACGTTAGAACAGATCAAGCAGAGGAAAGTATCAGTTAGTTCAAAGACAGGCTATTGAAAAATACACAGTCCGAGAGGATAAAAGAGAAAAGAATATAAAGGAATGAAGAACACCTACAAGACATAAAAAAATAACTGAAAAGACCAAATCTAAGAATTATTGACGTTCGAGAAGGAGCTGAGCAATGGCAGATATTATCTCAACTCAGTTAAAATGGTTTTTGTTACAAAGACAAGGAGTAATGGATGCTGATGAGGATTTGGAGAAAGGGGAACTCTCGTACACTATTGCTGGGAATGTAAATTAGCACAGCCATTAGGGAAAACAGTGTGGAGATTCTTCAGAATCCTAAAAATAAAACTACTATATGATCCAGCAGTTCCATTACTTGGAATATATCCAAAAGAAAGAAAATCCACATATTGAAGAGATATCTGCCCTCCCATGTTTGTTAAAGCACTATTCACAATAGCCAAGATGTGGAGTCAGCCTAAGTGCCCATCCATGGATAAACGGATACAGAAAATGTGACAGATATACAAAATAGAATACTATTCTGCCATAAAAAGAATGAAATCTTGTTATTTGCAGCTACACAGATGGAGCTGGAGGCCATTATGTTAGGTGAAATAAGCCAAGCACAGAAAGACAAATATAGCACTTTCTGTCTCATACGTGGAAGCTAAGAAAGTGAAACTCAGGAACATAAAGAATAGAACGGTGGTTACCAGAG